AGTGCTGTACACCTCCTAACTCTTTAATTTTATTTGTAGTTTAGAGTTTTTAAAATGAGCATTTGGAAGTATCTCTGCTGTCTTGATCCACACCAGGTCACTGGACTGTTTAGAGGCTGTTTTCTGAATACAGATACACAAAACTCTCAAGCTTCACTGGCTCTGTGAGGAGGATCCCCTTTGGGTGCTCACAGCAGCCTTTCTTTTAAATAGCTAATAAACCCAGCAAACCTAATTAGAGATAGCCAGAGAAAACAGATGTTCTGGTAAAAGCACTTTAATAACAATCTTCTTGGGCCACTTCTGCATGGCCAGTGAGGAAATCTGCAGCCTGACCAGAACCACCCGTTCCTTGGAGCACTTTTTTGTCCTATTTGTCTGTCAGCTTCATCAATCAAAGATTTTTTTTTAGCAAGAAAGTTGGACACATAGATAGCTTAGCAAGTACTGGGAATTTTTTTAGAGGAGAAACACCATCCTACTCTGCCTCTGCATTTCCCTGGATGCAGGTGGCTGATGGAGGGATGGAGAGCTGGCAGCTTGACCTCAAATCAAGCCCCTAATTTCCACAGGATTAATAACATCTCTTCTCCCATTAACACCTCATTTATTAGGAGTGGTATGCTTTAAGGATGGGTTCAATCTTCCATCATCTCTTGCACACAGTAAACACTGTCCCAACCATTGCTGGCAGAATTAGAGAGAAATGTTATTTTCCAAAGACACTTTCAGATATTTTGGGCCAATGAGCAGAACAGTAGAAGTCCTGGACTTCAGTGAAGCTCGAGCCACTGAGAGCCAACAAGGGGGACAAAGCTGTGCTAGGAATGAGATGGTTGGTTTAAAAGGTGAGAGGGACCTGTTCATTAGGCTGGAGGGATGCAAAATGAAACAAATGGAGATTAATGAGTTTGGATGTGATCTGGTTTTTAACTGGATCCAGTGTAGCGATGTGAGTGAGCCTGGTGTACCTGGGCCAGGAACACCTCAGCCAGTTCTTAGGCAGGACTGGCAAAATATCTTCTGGACTGTTCAGCTGGACAGAATTCCCAACACACTCTGCTGATATATTATGAATTTGGATATATTACATATTTTTTATCATTATATTGATACATTGATTTTTAAAAAGATTTTATTCCCCCTGTCTAGAAAGAAAGTGATATTCCTGGGACATATTTTTTGGATATATTGGATATATTTGGACATATTTTTTATCATTATATTGATATATTGATTTTTTAAAAGATTTTATTCCCCCTGTCTAGAAAGAAAGTGATATTCCTGGCAGGAATAGTTGGAGCCAGCCAGCTCCTTGGTTTATGTATTGATGAGCCACTTATAGCTGTGAAACCATTTCCAGTGAGACTTTAAAGAAATGGGGCAGTCACTATGTCTTCAATGGATTGGCAGTGCTGAATGTGTGACAAGTGTGGGAGTCCTCTGTTTGTGTGTGGGAAAGCTGTTTTGGTTTGGTGATATTTTAAGGGGATATTTTCTTGCCCTTCTGGTGCACGTGTACTGGGGGGTTTCTCTGGGCTCACAAACATCTTCTGGAGAGAAGTAAGCTGCTGGAATCTGTTCTCCTCTCCTGATGTTGTTTGGGAGGGTGGTTGGTGTGGGGCACACAACTGGGATTCATCCCTGCAGGATCTGTTCTTGGGGCAGAACTCAGCAGAGGGGTTTGATGCTCCCTGCTCGCTGTCCCTGGGGCAAAGGTGTGTGACACAGCCTGGGGCTGCCTGGAGCCCAGGGATGGGAATCTTTTGACAAAGCTGGTCCATGTACAAAAATACTCAATGACTCAATCTCCTGACTTCTTTTCATCCCCACATGCTAAAATACTCCCACTCCTTCACATATTTATATCAATCTCAGAGACTCCTAAAAGACAATAACGCTACTGAACCATAAATAATTAATTTGTAGACACTAGAACATCTTTCTAACAATAGGAATTATATTAGTCTCCTTTTACCCCATTTTTTCAGGACAAATTGTAGGGTTTATGGTTTGTTTAGTTTTGCTATTTATTGTTACTTTAACACTTTGTGTAGTAAATATAAATGTTATTAAGAAGCATGACAAATCACTGTGAGTCTTTTTGCTGCATCAGTCAGGTGTGGAACTGGCTGTTCCATGTTTCTATTCCCTGCTCTGCTCTGACAGTGCTCTGTGCTGCAGTATACAGAGATCCATCTTCTCGCCACAATTTTTTTGTTCAGATGCAAATTGAGGCAACTCATTAGATCAGAAGAGAGCTGAACATAAGCTGAATTCTGAAAAAAAAAAGGGACTAATGAAGTGAAAAACAGAAAAGCTGTAATTCAGCCTTAATTGAAGATAGTTAAGAGCCATTTCTTCAAAAACCTGATTCATTGCAAGACTTGGGGGATTTTTATCTGAAGTATAGGAATGAATCCTTAAAGAAGGAATGTGAACAATGGCAAGGAGAAGCAGTTCTACTTCTCAGCAGTGTGCCCTTTTCACTTACATGCTGTGAAAGACTTCAGAAAGAAACCATATCATTTTCTGTTTGATATAAGTACCACTAGGATTTCTTTTTTCTGCTTTTTTTTTTTTTTCCTCTCTTCCAGTCTCTGTAGTGCTCTAAACTTTCAGTCCCACGAGGGAGGGTGTGAGTGCCACACACAGGGACAGGTGTGGAGGTGTCCCTGCTCCATGTCCTGGCCCTTGCCTGGTGCCCCCAGCATTCCCTCTGCATTCCCTTTGGAGTTTTCCTTCCCACTGCATTGCCAGGATCCACAAAAGCTGCTGCTCTCTCACAGGGAAGGAGGGATTTCTTGTGCCCTCCTTTCCCCGTGTCACCAGCCCCAAAAGATGGCAACACTGAGATATTGGGGCTGTCATGGGTCACCCAAGCTCAGTCCAGATGAGCTGGAACTGCTGCAGGCAGCTGTGAGGGGCTCAGGGTGGCTTTGGGGGAGAAATCCTGCAACAAAATAAACAGCAGCACTGAAAAAGCAATCCAAGGATGCTTATTAAAATTTTAACAGCAGAGAACATGTTCCTGCTTCATGCAAAAGCAAAGTAAATGTGTGCTGCAGAAAGTGTGGTTTTATTTTGGTACTTCTTCATTATGTTCTGCTTTGTAACAGGTGTGATCTTTGATACTTTTCCCATTTCTGATTTCTTCCAAAAAGATTATTTACTTGCTATAATTCCCAAAGAGGAAGTTGGAAATTTAATGTGATTTGAAGTGTGTGTGATTAGTGTTCAGAGAAGTTCTTTTATTAGCTATTTTGACCAAATTTTTTTTTTCAAAAACCCTATGAGCCTTGTGAAATTAAAATAAGTTCAAGCTTCCCATAATTATTATTTCAGTAAATCTGAGAAATATTTATCTTCTTCTGAATCAGAATGAAAGCAGATATTGAAAAGATTGAGTGTCTGGGAGAGGGTTGGGCTGAGTTTGGCTCTGATGTTGCTGTGGATGTTTCTGGCACAGCTCTTGCCTTTATGGTGATACCTGCTGAATATTGATTTTCTCCAAAGGCAACTGTGACTGAGGACAAGGGTCCAGCTTTAAGAAGTAAAATGTTACACAAGGGATTATCTTGCTCTCAATTCTACACCTTCTCTCCATGAATATTTTATTAACATGGACAATGAACTCTACAGAATCGTGCCTTCAAATTAAAATTTTCTTGTACCATAGAGGCCTGCTTTCAAATGAATCTATTTTGCTGAACCTTTTCCAGAGTCAATTAATTGACTTTATCTGAACATGAGCTCTAAAGCACAGGGACATCAAAGTTTTTTCCCCATTTCTTTTTACTTACCTTGCTTTTGCTTTTGCCTGAGAGATGGACTTGAATCACCCCAAAGAGTTGTGGTGGTGTTGATGCATTTTGGAACACACAGAATCAGTGTTTTCATTTACACACTCCTTCATCTTTAATCTTGATGGCAGAAGATTGATAAAAGAAAGCTGACCTCAGAATCTCCTTGCATTTATTTCTGAATTAGAATGTGTATTGCATGAATTAATTTTCATTCCTCAATCCAGAATCTCAGTAGCAATTTTCACTTCTCATCTCTAGGGCTGAAAAAAAAAATGCTGAACACAGTAATAGTTTTAATTTTACTTAAACAGATCAGGCAGAAAGTCAGAGGAAAATCAGGTCACAGGCTCTGCTCTGTCATCAGGGGAAATAAATGGGAGACTTGGCAGAAAATGTGAGTCTGCATTTATTCCTGGGACAGAGCCAGCCACTCACACAGTTGGATTGAAGCTGTTGAGCTTAGTCCTTGCAGCAGCTGGATTTCAGAAGGTCCCAACCTGGCTCCCAGGGGCTTCCAGTGCCAGAGCCCTGGTCTGGCAGCAGCTCCCCAGGAAAGAGCAGGATCCCTGCAGAGGCAGAGCAGAGCCTTGGAGGGAGCTTCTCCCAGCACTCATGGCTTTTAAGGCTGCTCTGTCCGGGATTCTGCCAAACCCACGGGAATGGAACAGGTCCTGAGGCCCAGAGGCAAAGTACAACACAGGTGAGAGGCTTCCTGCTAGGAAAATGTGGGTTTGGGGGATTTTGGAGATGAAGAGTTTGTGAGGTTCTTGCTGAGCAAATCTATAGGATCAGTGACTTAATCCATAGAAGCAGTGGGACCTTGCTGGCCAAGGATTCCAGTTTCCAGGTGAAATTTCATCCTGTGTCCAGCACAACATTTACATGTTGTAGGAGCTCAGATTTGAGATGGTCTTGAGAAAGGCACATACCTTGTGCTAGTTCCAACATATGATCACTTCTTATAAATCAATATGGGAATGAAAACTTTCACATTTACAGGTTAAGCCCACAGTCACCAAGAATCTTTCTGACTTTTTGATCTTACCACCTGACCTCTTATCCCAGACACTACAGGAACCCTTGTCCTTTGACTTGAACTGTTCATTTGGCAGCTTGATGTGTTTTCATCCTGTAAAGGCAACTCCAAAGGGAGCAAGGTCTGGCTCACTGCTCTCTCTTCCTTCCTCTCCTCAGTGGAAAGATGTATGAGCTCCATGCAGGCTGGCACCCAGATGATCAAACTCCGAGGAGGCTCCAAGGGGCTGGTCCGCTTCTACTACTTGGATGACCACAGGTCCTGCATTCGCTGGAGACCCTCTCGGAAGAATGAGAAAGCCAAAAGTGAGTGTCAGCCACAGAACCTCCCCCCTGACCCCTCCTGGGGCCTTGTCCTCTTGTAAACAAAGGAGAATGAAGGGCCTGGCTCAATGAGAGGTGGTGTGCTGCAGCGTGGGGTTTAGATAGTGGATGGTGTCACCTATTTCCCAATGAGCATCTCCTGTGGAAAAGCTGCTTGGGTAAGCATTCAGGGAAAGCAGTCAAGTCCACACACACCACACTCACCACAGCTAGCTCAGCCAAGAGAGGCAGAAGGGCCTTTTGTATGATAAATTCCAGCAAAGGTTTACTCCAGCACGCTGAAGGGAAATCAGGGACAAAATACATGAGCATTTGCTGTGCACAGACTTAACTATGGGGTCAGTGACCAATAACCTGAGGGTACAGGGGTGGTGCAAAGGGCAGCAACCTCTAGAGGCAATGAGGGATGAATAATTGGGGTGGGCAGGGTCAGCAGGCCAATGGGGGAAGCAATCTACATTAGATTGGCAATAGTGCTGCAGGGCACCATGGGGAAGCCCTCTCTTTCAGCCTAGGTGGGGAAAACTCTACCTTCTTCCAAGGCAAGGCCCTGGGGATTTCTCTGAAGGGTTCAAAGGATTCCACAGTGTTGTACTTGACTTTAAAGGGCAGTAAGTGATTTTATGATGGGTAGTTTATGAAGCTGAAGTTGCTGCAGTTGGCCATGCAGGTTGTAGGGTGTAGGGTGCTGTAAATGAGTTGGGAGCAACCCCTGTGTGAACTGGGGCCTGCAGTGTGAGGTTTGAGCTCTGCCTCTCTGGGATTTCCAGCCCGGGGCATGCTCACAGCCATTACTGCACCTGTGTCCCTGCAGTTTCCATCGACTCCATCCAGGAGGTGTGTGAGGGGAAGCAGTCGGAGATCTTCCAGCGCTACGCCGATGGCAGCTTCGACCCCAACTGCTGCTTCAGCATCTACTACGGGGACCACATGGAGTCCCTGGACCTGGTGTCCTCCAGTGCTGAGGAAGCACGGACCTGGATCACAGGGCTGAAGTACCTGATGGCAGGCATCAGTGACGAGGACAGCCTCTCCAAACGCCAAAGGACCAGAGACCAATATCCTTGCTGTGCTGCCTGGGAGCTTTCCCAGCAGTGAGAGCTCTGGAGAAGCTCAGGATTCCTTACAGTGTTTGCTTTGCTAAAAATGAGCACTAGGCTCAGAGCTTCAGAGCAGTTCCCACTGTATTCCTTGTTTCCAGAGACAGAGTTCCTGAAGAGGATTGTTCTGGAGATGGAGATGAGTGACTGCAGTGGACTGAAAAACACACAGGCACATTCTTCAGTCTCACTCCCATCCATTTAATTTGGTGATGTAACACTGAGATTCACTCAGAAAGTGCCCTTTTTTCTTCTGTGTTGTCAGATAGGCACAGAGCACATGTGGCATGTTGAGCACAGCAAGCCTAGAAGCTGTTACTGAACTAACATGAGGAGAGTTAGATATTAGCTTGACCTTTCATTCCCAGTCTCATTTGCAGTGTTTCCTAATGTGAAAAGAATAATATATCCATGATGTTCAGTGATACCCTTCAATATTCCGTGCTGTTCCTTAACTCCTGTTCAATGTGGTTGAAGCAGACATTTGATGAGGCAGATAAAAATGGGGATGGAAGTCTGAGTATTAGTGAAGTGCTCCAGCTCATGCACAAACTTAATGTGAACCTACCCAGACAGAAAGTCAAGCAAATGTTTAAGGTAAGATTTTTTTTCCCTGAAAAAACAAGGATTTAACACAAAATCCAGTAGAAGAGATTTCAAATACTTCAGCAACTGGTTTGTTTCCACTCTACTGAGAGATACTACACAGTCCATTTGGTAAATTGGAAAGAGCTCCAGAAACGCATCACAGATAAATTGTTATGCACAGAAAAAGGCAACACACCAGGTACATTCTGGTGTTACATAACATGAAAACACACAGTTCCAAGATTGCTCTTTTGCTACACCTTTTTGATCAGAAACCCAGTCATGTTTCCTCCCCCAGTTATGTTCTCTCTAACAAATATTATCAAATAAAGTATCCAATATCCTCTGATAGCTGGTACTAATAAAATACCCAGCATGCATACTTTTGTATCTGTCAGATTTTTGCGGTGCTGAGAGCTGTTTGTTTGACATTGCGTTCTGCTGACCTTGGCCCAATTTAGTGAGCAACAATAGAGATGTGCAGCTTTTGTTATCACAAAGTCCCTGCAGGGACCAGCAAGCCTTTATGTGAAATCCCTGATGATTTTTTTCTTTACTTGCAAAATTAGTATTCTTCCAGATCTTATTAGTTTATGGCCATGGATTTAATAGATATCCTCTTAAATCCTGGATATAAAATTAATTTCAAGATGACTTGGGCTCCGATGATCTTCTGAAGATGTGAGTGGGTAATTCTGCCAGACACACGCATATTGTTGGAGGGGAACTTGCCTTCACTTGATTGCCATAGACAGAAGAAATCCTTCAGCAGGGTTCCCTGTGGAACAATTAAAACCTTCAAAGTGGTTTTTGGCATGGAGGTATCCATGGGAGAGGTTCAGAGCTGTGCAGAGGATTCCTGTGGCCAGGCTGATAGATCAGTCAGTTCTAGCAGCCACGTCACTCAGCTTCAACCTGCATTTGATTCCAGTGCTTCACTCTCATGCGGGGCTTTGTTTGTTTAAAATTGGTGCAGGCAGTTGGGTTGTGACTGGTTGTTGTGTGCTGCAGGAGGCTGACACAGATGACAACCAGGGCATGCTGGACTTTGAGGAGTTCTGTGCCTTCTACAAGATGATGTCGACGCGGCGCGATCTGTACCTGCTGATGCTCACCTACAGCAACCACAAGGACTACCTGGACACAGATGACCTGAAACGCTTCTTGGAGACTGAACAGAAGGTAGGCCCAAGCCAGGAGCAGAATTCCAGCTGCATGCCTTCCTGCTTGCCACTGGGAATGAATTCTCTTTTGAAAGGGATGGGGACTTTGATGCTGTGCATGTGGAAAAGAGACAGATGTCTCTTGCTTTTCATCCAGGACTATTTCTTGAATCTTCTTGCTCTCACTACCTTTTTTTTTTTCTTATAGGCTCTTTTAGTGTGCCCCTAAATATGATCTCTAGAATTGCTTTCTTTTTTCATGTGTTCCCCTTGAACAATCCCATCAGCATCTGTCTGTTCCCAGCATTCAGTGCCTTGCAGCAGAGCTGGTGTTCCTGCTCTGCTTGTGACCTAGTGCACAGCCCATGATGAAACTCTGAATTACTTTGTCACTCCATCTCAGTGTGTAAACTGGAAGATTATCTTTCAAAGAGCAGTTGAGAGGATGATTAATGTATAGGAGAGTTTTTGAAACACATTGTAGTACCTAAGGAATTTTCTGAGTGATTTAAGTCCAGTGCTGCAGGAACAACTCCTTTGACTTATCTTTGCCCTTTTCCTCTCATGGTCTCCTCTGAAGCTTCATGCCTGTAAGTCATAAATGTCCATGATTTTCAGTCATTGTCCATAAAAGGAATGAATAAAAAATCCACCTCTCTGGCAGTTATCTTCTTAGATAAGTGGGGTGTGTTTCCATTTCATTGGTCAATTGATCCTCCAGATGCTGAGGGAAAAATGAACACTCACCACAGGACAGAAATCCACTCTGCTAATTATTGACATGGCCAAATCCTGCCTGGGGGGCTTCTCTCCCTTGCCACCCTTTCTCATACAACATGGATAGGGAAATCAACTTTACTCCATTCCAGGAAAACCTGGTGTTCCAGAACTTCATCTTTCGAACCTAGTATCATCAATGTTCAAATCCAGAGTTAGAGGTTTTGGTCTTCTTCTTTTACTTTTATTTATTAGGTTTTAAATTACCCCCAGAAAAGGCATTGATCTTGTAGCAGATGTGATGGTGGTTTCATTTTTCCCCAGGCAAAGATTTTGTGTTGTCACTTTATTGCACTCTGATGACGAGGGCTGTGTTTTCATGTACAGCATATAATAGCAAGGATTTGCTGGTCCACTCAGGACAGGAATGTTAAATAATATCAGGATAATAGAGAATACATCAACAGTTATTAGCAGGAGTATTAATTGTGCTAAAATTAAGTTATTAAAACACTTCATTATGTAAAAAAAGTTACAGCTCAACATTAATATCCCTAGTTTCATAAATGACAACATTTACAGACACACATTTCCCTTTGTACTCTTTTCTTTTTCAGTTGAGAATGCAGAGCAACCTTGAAGTTAGCAGATTTCCTGAGAACATTATGTCCCGTTTCTCTGTTTCCCTGCTACTAACAGATTTTTCTGTCTGCTGCATAAAGATGAGACATTTTCTTGTTTTATTTTAAAATAAAAAAACCCTTTGATAATGCAAACTAATCCTCTAATCCTACAAGAGAAGAAATCCCATTGGTTTGTGGCAAAGCTCGTTCTGTTTGGACGCTCTGTGGTGCCTAACAACAGATCTGACCTACAAAGCAGAACTCTGTCATCAGGCAGCTGCCAATAGCACAGAAACTTTTCACAGAGAGCTCCCCTTCTGATCTGCCCTGACACTGATTGACAGCAGTGAGAATCCCTCTGGGGAACTGGAAATCCTGAGTCCCACTGTGGATAATCTGCCCAGTTGTTGGACTGGAGGTGGAGAGAGCTCAGAGAAGCCGTGATTAATAGTTAACACTGCACTTCTGCTGCTTTTACAGATGACAAATGTGACTAAAGAACACTGCCTGGAAATCATCAGCAAGTTTGAGCCATGCCCAGAGAACAAGAAGGAGGGAGCCCTGGGAATTGATGGTAAGCTGGCTGGTGCAGCTTTTGTGGGGAAAAGGGAACAGTCTCAATGCTCAGGAGAATATTGCTGCAGCTTGCAGAATATATAGATGTGGAATTTTGTCATGTTGTATAGAGGATGTTTCCAGTATTTTTGCCTTTTTAAAAAATATCTACCATTTACTGAGGAACCTGAAAAAATCAGATCTCTTTGGGGGAGTTTTGAAAGGTACATATCAGGATGAAGCAGCACTCATTGAAAATCAGCTGGAACTGGAGGTGTCTCTATTTGTGCTTTTGGAAAATACAGTTGAATTTAGTTGCATCATTCCTGCAGGTATTTTTGGAAATCATTTAAGTCTTAATATAAGAGGAGTGATGTGATCCAGAGTAAATGTCTGAGTGGGATGATAGATGAAATTGGTCCTGCCTTCCTGACCTTTCCTGCTGAAGCCTTCTCTCTAAATATATCAATGTTGTACCACCAGGCTGGTAGCTGTTATTTTGGGGGCTGACTGTAAGTCCTTTCCCCTAAATAGTAAATCTTCAGCCAGATCTTACTGACCCCAAGAAGGGAGTACTTTCCTGAAGAATTAGGTTCTGTGCAAAAGTTCTTGGACGTTTAGAAAATCAGTCTTGTCCATTTCTGTGGGTGTGTTGTCATCCTGAAAAGTGACAGAACAGAAGTTGTTTGGTTTCCTGCAGGAAGAAGTGGGTAGTTTCTGGTACACTGTGTAAGGTGGTTGCTTAGGATGGGTCAAGGTCTGTTCTACTTCCAGACTAAATTTTCAATTTATTTTAATGCTTATGCTAATGCCAATGAGGGAGGAGATGACATTCTTTTCATTTTCTGGTCTTTACAGACAGTTGCAGTCACATAAATAATGAATAAGCAAGTTCATTATCTTACCTTCCTCATACCTAAAAAAGTAAAGAGCAGGCTTTTCAAACTACTGTAAGTTTCCATAGAGAAAAACAATAACAACAACAACAACAACAAAATCTATACAATTGCTTTGCCTCAGAATGGATGATAAAACATCAGAGAATTTATGGGTTAGGATAAGAGAGACTCCAGCATGGTGACATTCTGCTGGTGTCTGCTCCTGATCACAGTGAAGGAGAAGGTGAGGTCATTTGGAGACAACTGGAAAAAGCTTTTTGACCCTAACCCCTCCAGTAACTTGCAGCAAGTGCAGCAGAACAGAACAGAACAGACCCAATCTAGAGCTTAATTAATGCAGGACATTTCTGATAAAATCCAAACAGAGGTGACTGAGGAGCTGACAGCAGCACACTGCTGGGCTGGGGCTGACAAAGGAGGAAGAGCTGCTTAAAAATCCTAAATCTGTTTCTGCATGTACACCATGTATGAACATGTGTGCACACACAAACAGAGGAGTTATTCCTCTCTTGTCTGTGTGGAGTTGAGACTTTAGATGTCTCCTGCCTCCCAGAAAACAAGTCCAGTGCTGCCCTGGGGATGGAAATGCAGCAGCCATGGAAGCTGGAGCTGCCTGATTATCCCTCACATTGGAACAGCCCAGACAGGAGCATCCTGTCCACACTTGGCTGCACCTCAGTAGTAGTGAGATAACAGTACAGTGATCTTTGTCCTTTCCTATCGATTCACGTGCCTGTCCTCAGCTGTGCTGGCTTTTGTCATGGAGCACCTTGGACTGGCCTGTGATAATGGACTCATTCACAGACTCTAAATAAACTCTTTACCTCTGTCTGCTGATCAAAGTGACACCTGCCAGTGCACCTTCCCTGAGTGTGACCTGCAGTCCTGTGGGACTCACTGCTGACAGCACCTTCCTCCATTCCTGTTGCTTCCTTGTAGGACTGATAAATCCAGTTAGTGTGAACTCACTACAGCCATCATGCCATGGTATTTTAACAAGAGCTTAAAGCAAACAATGGTGTTGTTGCAGCAGCTGCCCTCCCAGTGCTGGGTGGAATTAATCTTGCAGCAGCTGATTGGTTTGCAGGAAGAGCTGATTACCTGCCACAGTGGTTGGCTGTGTGTTTGCTGACACACTCTGTGCTCTATCCATTTGCCACAGTGGCTGCTCTGCCTTGGTTCATCTTTTGTTTTCACCCTGCCTCTATCACTGATGTGCTCATTGATCGTGGTGTGTGCTCCAAGAGACTCCAATATTCAGCTGGGCTGAGTTGAATTCCCTGGCACTGTGTCCCAGTGTGTTGTTCAAAATGTTTTGGCTGCTATTTGTGTTTATTAGCTCTTTTCCTCTAATAAAACTTTCATCAACACCAAATGTGGAGCCTAGGAGGACCATCATAAAGGTGACATTTTCTCCTGTCACAGTCACACTTAACAAAGTGTGTTAAGACCTTTGGAAGTCTGGCAGGATTTTTACAGGGGCACTGATTCATTTATGGAATGAGTGAAATGTCAGGAGCATTAGAAGTCTTGAAGCAGAAACCTACTGACCAAAGGCATCATCACTCTCAGCAAAGGGTGTGAATGGGAGTCTGAGTCTTTCCTTGATGGTGAAAGAAAAACCTTTGGGGGAGATTTGAAGTGGAAGTTACAGTGTTTTGTGTCAGTCTGAATTGTGAAAGTGGCTGTGATATGTGCACAAATGTCTGCTGGAGGTCTGAGAGAGCAATTTCACACAAAGATGAAATCATAACTTGCTAAAACTTTGCTTCTGAACTAGAGTAGTGATTGCAATACACAGAGGGCCCAGGTGATGATGTCTGTAGGATTTGCAAGCATTCCACTGCTCTGGAAAATAAATTATTCTGGTAGCATCACTGAAAGCCCCACCGATAATTGATATTTCAGTGTCAATTCTGGAGTGAACTTTAGTCTCTGAAGTGACATGAGTGCAGTACTGCAGAGCTCCTCACTCCACAGGCAGGTTTGTGGTGTCATATCCAAATTAGAGAGTGTAGCTTGTACAAGCCAATGTGCACTGTCATTATTTTGGTGGGTTTTTTTGGGAAAATACTGCAAGAGGAGAGAAGAGTATCTCCTGGACCATCAAAACCTGTCTCTACACAGCCCAATACTGTAGATCTTACAAGATTTCACTGAGGAGCAACTCCAGGATGACTGCAGATCTCTGGAGGCTTTTATATGCCATATGACCCAATGTCCTAGCAGAATCTTTTGACACAAGTTATAAGATTTGGATTAAATAGACATATTTTTCTCAGGAAAGGCAGAGCAAGAAAACATACAAAGCAATAATTGCACTTGGTCATGGTGACAGTTTGGGTGTAGTGGTGCTATTTCTTTATCTTAAATATGGTGGTGAATACAGGGATGCATTTTAGGCTGGTTTTAGGGAGGTTACAGCAACAAAAAAGATGAAACTGTGTTATTTACAGTGTTGTTTGTTGACAGGTTTCACCAATTACATGCGGAGTCCGTCGGGGGACATCTTCAACCCAGAACATTACCAAGTGAACCAGGACATGAGCTACCCCCTGAGTCACTATTTCATTACCTCTTCACACAACACCTACCTCATGGGAGATCAGCTGATGTCCCAGTCCAGGGTGGACATGTATGCATGGGTGCTACAGTCTGGCTGTCGCTGTGTGGAAGGTAAAGAGCAAAAGGAGCTGCCAGTGGGCTCTGTGGTCTTGTTCCTCCTCTCTGAAAAAAGATTTGTGACTTCTGCAGAAGGCACGGTAGCTGGGGAGAGGAAAAATCCTGGGAAAATGCTGTTTTCCTGTCATAAAGAACAACAAAATAATGCTGTCATAGAATGGAAAAATTTTCTTGAGCATGGAAATAAGACAGATATTTGAGGAGTGGTGTTGTTGGTAGTGAGGAAAAAAGCAGTAAAAGTCCTGTTGTAGAGAGAATGCTGATGTTGGGCAGAGTGCACTGGTGCTTCTCCTGCCTAGCCAGGTGTGACAACCAAACTGGCAAATATGGCAGAGTTCCTGCCACACCTGAGAGGAAAGTGGATATTTCTGCTCAGGGAACTATTCTGTGAAATGGTGACAGTCTCTGCAGTGACCAGGAGACCTTTTTGTGCAATCCCTTCTTGTGCTGCCTTTCTGAGACATTGCCTCTTTCATAATCATCTTTAATGTTCTGACCATCACGGTGTTCGCACAGCCTTTCAGAAGGCAAATATGGTTTGCTCAGGTTGGATTGTGCCATTGGGTGCTTCAGAGGAGTAAAACATCCCATGGACAAGTGTTATAGACAAAGTCAGGCAAAATCCAGGGATGAGCAGGTCTTGGCTTGGCCTGTGGTGTGAGCAGCTTGGCTGAGAGTCTCTGCTTTCCTTTTCAGGTTCAGCAGGAGCACAATGAAAGCAATGCTCTGCTCTGTCACTTCTCTCCCTGCCATAAACTCCTCAGTACTTTTAAAAAGAGTTTCTTTGCTTGGGGCTTTCTCAGACAGTGGGAACAGTCACCTGGTCCCAGCATGAGGCCAAGCTCAGGAAGTTCCTTCCCAGGAAGGATGCTCAGCACAGAGATGAGGGAGATGCAGGGTGGGAATGAACCTGTGCCCTGCTTTGGGGACATGGCTGGCTGAGCTGCTGAAGGGAAATTCAGGGTTTTATTGTCCCCCACAGAGGGTGGCCCAGGTGTTCCTGCTCTGATGGTGTCACTGCTTCTGCCCTACAGTTGACTGCTGGGATGGGCCGGATGGGGAACCAATTGTCCACCATGGATACACCTTGACTTCCAAAATCCTCTTCAAAGATGTGATTGAAACCATCAACAAATATGCCTTTATCAAGAATGAGTATGTATCCAGCCTGCCAACCTTTGAGTCTCAGGGCTATGAATGGGAGGGTTCCCTGGCATCCTTGTACATCGCTGACCTGCTCCAGAATTCCAGACAGGATTTGGAGTTGTTTTCTGGGGGGAATCCTTCAGATCCTTCAGAAAGAAACAAGGCAAAGCTGAGTAGGGACATTCTGCACAGAGGTGTGGAGCTGGCTTTCTTGAGCTTGCCCAACACCTGAGGAACAACAAGATTTGCCAGTGAAGGTTTTCAGTGAAGGGCTGGCAGTTAAACAACTTTGTCTCTCTGGATGTGCACTCTGGTGCTGCCAAGGTTACACCTGGGTGCTCCAGGGATAGGAAACAAATCAGGGAATAAAGAATCCAAAAAGAGAGCAGCCTGACTGTGGACAAAGCAGAGTGTTCATCAGAAAGAAGTTTTTTTCCCTACAGGTACATTGCTCAGAAAATCAGTATTATTCATGGGAAATTTCATATACCTTGGCAGTTACTCTTCTCCTCCTCCACACAGTCAAAATGTGTGTGTCAACCTTTGGGTTTTTTTTTTTTAAACAGAAATTACTTCATTGCTGTAAAAAATTTCCAGTAGCTCCCCCAAAGCAGCCCATCTGCCTTTACAAATAGAGCTAAACTTGCACTAAATTTTCAGGCCAGGTAAACTTCTTGTGAGCCTGATACTTTTTGCAGTTTGCCTGAAGCCATGCTAAACAAATCAAAGGCAGTGCTTCTGAAATTGTTCAGGTTTTTTAACCTTTGCAAAAAAGTGTAACTGGGACCACATCACCAACTGGGAAAGTTTGGTCCTGGTGGGGCTCAAATCCTGATGAGGAGCTAATGAAGGCCAGATGTCAGGATAGAAATAATTTATTTTTTATTAATGAATCCCTGATAGTTTGATCCTGCATAACTCCTTTATAAAAGACTGTTGTGCTGATCTTAGAAAAGCATCATCTCTAAAGAGAAATCCATCTTCAGTGTGGTTTTACTGGCACTGACCACACTGGAGTAGATGTTCCACAGATCTTATCTGCAACCAGGCATTGTTGTTCTTTGGCCTTGGCTTGGATAACCAACAATAAATGAGAACAGTAAAACTAAAACTAGAAACAACACTTGCTATTTTTGTAGAAGAGGCTTTGTCTGCAGGTTTATCTGTATGATACTGCTCTGTTGTTAGTGGGAAAAGCCTTCATGCTGTCAAAGCCAAATTTGCAGCTGATGCTTTCTGGTCTCTGCAGGTACCCTGTGATCCTGTCCATTGAGAACCACTGCAGCATCGTGCAGCAGAAGAAGATGGCTCAGTATCTCACAGAAATCCTGGGAGACAAACTGGACCTGTCTTCTGTGCACAACGATGACTCCACAAAGCTCCCTTCACCAGCAAGTCTTAAAGGGAAGATCCTGGTTAAGGTAAACTCCTGCTTCATGTGTCCTTTCCCTCCTCTCGTTTGTGATGATGATGATGATGATTTCTGCCTGATTATCACTGTACCCTAACTTAAATCACTTCACAAAAAGCAGACCTTAGGAAACTGCTACTTAAGGTTCAGAAAAAAAAGTCTTCTCAGTCAGTAACAACCTGGAAAGAACATGCTTTGAATAATTTTGGGGTTTTTTTTACAATATGTCATAGCAAGTGCTGCGTGATCACCTGCCTCTGTAATAAATTTGTCTTCTAGGGCAAGAAACTTCCAGCCAACATCAGTGATGATGCAGAGGAAGGAGAAGTTTCTGATGAGGACAGTGCAGATGAGATTGATGATGACTGTAAACTAATGAATGGAGATGTAAGTGAAGTGAATGTAAATGTCTGTCAAGGCTTCCCATGTCAGAGGAAACCTTGTAGGAGCTCTCTGGATTTGGGGTGGGGTCTGATCTTTGGGATTCAGCACAAGTGGTTCAGGTTCTAAACCTTCATGGGGGCACACTGACAAAAGTGCACAGGAAGCAGCACCTGCTCTAGGGGTTATGTTTCAAGTTTAGAATATTAAAGGGTAATATCTCACGACTCTTCAGTGCATCACAGTGTGCTTTCCCCTAAAATGCAAAAAAAAAAAAAGAGAACAAAATATTCTATTTACATTAAATTGTGGTCATTTTTACAGAGCATCCCTTTGCTTTGCTGAATGCTGGGCTTGATTGATTGTTACTGGAAGAAAAATCTCTGCTGGCTTCAATCTGAAAATCCCTTATTTCTTCATCTTTTTTTAAAAGTTCTATTTTTTGTCACTTTAATCTTTTGGCAAATTCCACTGCACCTTGCAGAAACAATACAAAACACAGCAAAACCATTTAATGACATGAACTAGATTGCCTTGGAGAGAGTTTGCATTCTCAGTCCTCTCTCCCTCAGGCTATTTCCTCATTTTGTATTATGGATCTGATCCTTTTCATCTAAAAGAGAAACTTCTTTGTGAATAAGACTACCAAAGGAGAAAAATAATTTCTTTGCTTTTTGGAAGTTATTACATGTTAGCATATCACTTTTCAATATTTTACAGCACCATCTTTGTTACTAACAGTTCACTTTGCTGAGATTTACTGATGCTTTAAGTCTGAGGTTTCCTACACTCGGTTTGCTTTCCAAAATGAAATTTTGAAGAGTTCAGAAAATCAGAGTTTGTTTCATGACAAATGTAACTGGGAATTCTTGGGGCCTACAGAGAGAACACAATCTGCCACCCCTTAAAAGACCTGAGTGAAAAAGGAAGCTCTTGATTTTTATTTTTAGTTTTATTTCCTCACTTCCCCACACGGGCCATGGTGCACACAGAGCAGGAACAGGAGTTCTCTTGCATTTTGCCTTTGATCTGCTGAAAAGAGGATTCTAAATCATCTCCCATCCATTCCACCCAAAAGACCTACTGCAGCTGCAGAGTCAGCCTGGACATGGCATGGGACTCACATGATGCTTTCTTCATCACTGCCTTGTTTAATGATTTAATGGCTTGTTTGCAGGCATCTGCTAACAGGAAAAGAGTGGAGAATATAGCAAAGAAAAAACTTGACTCACTGATAAAAGAATCCAAAATCCGTGACTGTGAAGATCCAAACAATTTTACAGTTTCCACTCTACCATCCTCAGGAAAGGCTGGGCTGAAGTCTGATAGTAAGAAGGTGAATTTGTGTTTAATTGTACTTGTGTTTCATTAGTTTACTAAATATATCTTGTACTATTGACTTCAGTTTCATAGCTGAATTCATGCAGTTAATGATGATGCCAGGTGAACATCACTGTCAGATATACAAACTATTTGTCTTGCTCACACAGCAATTGGAGCATGAAATGTACTCTGAAATGACTTTTCAACAGAAAGAATTTGATTTTCCTTTATAAAAACTGCTTCTGAATTTTGGGCTCTTTTTCTTCCTCAGTTCTCTGTGTTCTATGCATTTTCAGTTAAATTTTAATTTTATATTAACTCTAATTTATAAAAATGTACTCAGCCCACAGACTACACTTCATGAAGTTGAGGCATTTTCATTTTAGCTTTGTAATAAGCCACAAAAACTTTGGGAAGATTGTTCCACGCAAGTGAAAAGCAGTGGAGATCTGCCAACAACAAGCAGGTGTAATAACCAGGGATTAAAACTAAACTAGGGATGAGAACTAAAAACCAGCTTCCCAAAACATTCTGTGGGGTGAGTTTTGATGTATTTTAAATCCAGTGCTTTACATGATGTAACAGAGAATTCTTGTGAGAGCCACTACAAGGCCAAGGCTTCCAAACCCTTTAGCAGAGATGTTACCCAGAATAGTCAGTGCCAAAACCCCCTCCTGTTTGTGCTGATATCCAGAGACTGTCTGAGCACTCTGTCTGAGCTCCTGTGTTTTTTTCCTCTCTCTTTGGTTGCTTCAGAGTAAACTTGAGGATGATGCAGAATCTGGGGAAGATTTCAGTGCCAGCAAAAGGCACAGCAGGTCACTCATGGGCAGCTTCTCCAAACGCAAGGTGAGCCCCTGCCAAGGTGAGGTCTGCACCAGAGCTTGGATTCTTGGAGGGATTTTTGGTTTTGCACGCAGAGGAGAGGAATTTCATAACTGCAACATCTGCAGCACCTCGCTCTGAGGCTGTTCACTGAACAGACAGGCTGGGGAGCTGCTTAGCATTGTGCATAACAACAGAGATTCAATCTACATGAAGGTCTGAGGGCGTCCAAGATCTAACTGAGAACGACAAAAAATAATTTACACCTTTTATCTGAGGATTTGGGCTTCCTTTATAACAAGGCTCAGACCTTGGGCTGAGTTTTCCCCACGTGCAAATTGTGCTGCAGAGCCGAGTGTTACGAAAGCTGTCATTTTCCATTTTCTCTAAGTAACACACTCATTGGCATAACAAAGCAGAATTGTAGCCAGCTGCTCAAACTTTGATCACACAGTTATGATATTGTGGTTTTATTTCCTTCTGGCACAGAAAAAAGGAAGCAAATTGAAAAAGGCATCAAGTTTGGAAGAGGGTGAAGACGATTCGGATTCTCAAGGGAATTTGGCCAGGAGCTCTGTACATTACAGCAGGTTTGTTAACAAATGATTTGACAACTTTGTTGCTAAAATATGCTAAATGCACCCACTAAATAGGTTTGCTTCTGGTCTAGATGCCAGTTTGTTCGTGACAGGAATGTGGGGAGATGCAATGTCTGCCACAAAATCACCAGAATGACCTCTTGGTGCTGTTCAGATTAATTAGCAAAGCACAGTGGACCTTTTACACATTTTGAGCTCTTACTGTCTCATCTATTTCTTTACCCTGATTTATTTTTAAATATGAAAGACAACATTTACCCCTTAATTGGTGGGAAGTTGATTTGTTCTGTTAATTTGTTACCTTTCTAGAGTAAGCCGACAGAAGAAGACAATGAAGCTGTCCAGGGCCCTGTCTGACCTGGTGAAATACACAAAGTCTGTTGGCATCCATGATGTTGAAACTGAAAGTAAGTTGAACTAAAAGTTTGGTGAAAATAATTGCTGCACAAAGAAATGGAAACATTTATGTTCTTGCATATGTTTTCATTAGAAGAAGACTTCTTAATGAAGATTCAGGTCTTCATCATATTCAGCTTCACTTTCCCAACCACAACTGCTCCAATAAGCACAGTGTCTGCTGTAATTTAAGGAAAACAGAGTTCCCTCTGAGTGGCATGCACTGAAATGATGCTTGATAGCTAAAAAGGAACCAATGCTATGTACTTTTGAAAGCTTTATCTAGATAATGAATAAATGAATAAGGAGATTACCTCTAATCTCCTCTGCAGTCTCTTCCAGCTGGCAGGTTTCATCTTTCAGTGAAACCAAAGCCCACCAGATCCTGCAGCAGAAGCCAGCGCAGTACCTGCGCTTCAACCAGCACCAGCTGTCCCGCATCTACCCCTCCTCCTACAGAGTGGACTCCAGCAACTACAACCCCCAGCCCTTCTGGAATGCTGGCTGCCAGCTTGGTGAGCTGGAAGGAAACTTCTTTATTTTTCCTTCTGTTTTTGGGAGGGATGTTGTGGGAAATGGATTTGTAGAGAATTCTGTCCATGGAATAGGATAGACGTTGTTGAGAGAGAAATGGAGCTAGAAACAAGTTTCAAAGGATGGCCTTGCAAATAAAGCTGGATACTTTGGAGAAACAGAACTATGAAAGATGCATTGTAGTGAGACTTACAAGGGGAAATTTTAGATTATTTGCTTTAAAACATTTATAACAGAAGCTGATAGGCCAAGGAATGCTTATAATGTATTGTAATTAGGAAATAGTTGGCTTCTGATTGTGATGGTGTGAATTATAACAGCTGTGTTGTCTCATCCTTCACATGAGACTGAAAACAGAATAAAAGTTTTTGAAACACCTCTCAGCTGCCCCATCTCTGGGTCAGAAAAGAGCTTAATTCAACAGGATGTTTGAATAGGAGCTCTGGAATCACCCCTTAGGACACTCTAATTCCTCTGCTTACCCAGCTTTGCTGACCATGGAGTCCTCCTTGGTACTGTCCCTGGACTGATTACCTTGAACATGTGATTTACATGCAAGGAGTTGTCTGGTAAATGGAAATAAATGAACTTCTCAAATGCAAGAGGGCTTCAGAGTTCAGCTCTTCTGGGGAGCTTCTCCCCCTGAAGCTGTAATATATGAGAATAGTCTTCCATAAGATGTCTGATTTTTTTTTACATTTAAAAAGTCAAATTGGAATCTGATTTAATTTTTTTTTTAATAGTTGCACTAAACTACCAGTCAGAGGGGAGAATGCTGCAACTGAACCGGGCCAAATTCAGTGCCAATGGGAACTGTGGCTATGTCCTCAAACCAAACTGCATGTGTCAAGGTAAGGAAAAGCAGCAACACCAGTGCAACACTGATTGCAGGACAGGATTGACTGTGAGGCCTTGTTACAGTTCGTTTAGAGATTCATTTCTGATGCCAGAAGCAAAAGAGCCAGAAGGTATCTGTAATTAAAGTCACGTTGCACTTTCACGTTATGGGACCCTTCATTCTAACAGGTGTCTTTAACCCAAATTCTGAAGACCCCCTGCCTGGTCAATTGAAGAAACAGCTGGTTCTAAGAATTATCAGTGGTCAACAACTCCCCAAACCACGTGATTCCATGCTGGGAGACAGAGGAGAGGTATGGGACAGCTGTGGTTGTTATTTTGTGATGCAGAAGGTTTATTTCCATTCTGGCTGGGCTGAGGATGAGGATTTCACATCCTGCAGTTGCTTGTCAGGAGACACAGACCATGAATAAATTAGGTCATGAACACCCTACATCTTCAGGTGGTTTTCTTCTCTTTTAAGCATCACAGCTGTGCTTTGATGGTTTTCCTCAGTTGCCAACACAGTACTTCCAGAAGAAGCAAAAACAAAAAAAAAAAGGAGAGAGATGTTATCAATTTAATAATTCACTCCATAAGGCTCAGGACCAATAATTACCCAGGCATTCATGTACAGTGCCCATATTGTAAAAGCCATTTGCTTGGGTTTAATCTTTGCCACTCTTTCTTTTCAATATTTGTTGTTTTTTGTTTTTCAGATCATAGATCCATTTGTTGAAGTAGAAGTTATAGGCTTGCCTGTTGATTGCTTCAAAGAACAAACCAGAGTAGTTGATGATAATGGTAAGATTGTCTGGGATTTAGGTTTTTTAATGGCTGAAACATCCTCTTTCAGGCAAGTTTTTTTTCATAAGAATAGGAGAAGATAAGATTTGGTGCCTATTATGGCAAAACACTGAAAATTGGATTTCAGCATTTTAAATGTTTATTAAACTTGGATTTTGACTTGAGTTGGTATAAATATGCTGAAGGCCTTGGTAAGAAACAAAACATTTGTTTTCTCATTATGTGTGAGAGAAGGGTATTTTGAGCTTGCTGTGGTCAAAAGGCAGGTTGGCCAAATTTAGGCAAGACCCAACTCTGTTCCTTGTGGGAATGCTGGATTTTCCAAGAACAATCAATCAGTCAGGAAAACCAGAATGACACCACAGCTTGGGCAGGCTTGTTGTTTGTTGTGAATGAGATTCCTAAAGGCTGATTCCCCCTCTGGAAGGTTTTAACCCCATGTGGGAGGAGACCTTGGTGTTCACAGTGCACATGCCAGAGATTGCCCTGATCCGGTTCCTGGTGTGGGACCACGACCCCATCGGGAGGGATTTCATCGGGCAGAGGACAATAGCCTTCAGCAGCATGATGCCAGGTAAGAGAAAGCTGACATCCCAAATTAAAAGGCTGGGATTTTTTCCTGTGAAAAAAAAAATCAAAATTCATCTGTCTGCTGCGGAAATTTCTAGTTAGGACAAGAGGCTGGAGTTTGGGCCCTGAGTTCTCTGCCTTAATCAGCTCCTGACTGATAAGGTGATGAACACTAAATCAATTAGCTCTAGATTTTTGGGATTAGATTTTGAAAAAGTGGGTAAGATTGTTAAGCAGGGTGGGTAAATACTGTGGGCTTGGCAGGCTGCTATACAGAATCTTTACTCCTTTAGTGCTTTTTACTCTCTTTCTTCACACCAGTTTTTGAAAAAACTCTAGGGTTTTGCTTGGTTTTGTGACTATGAGTAGTAGTTTAACACAGAATAGAAAGTTACCTCTTCTAATGATGGGATCCAGGCCATTAAATGCCATTTTCTGACAGTTTCCTCTTTCTGTTTTCATTTCAGTCTTCTTTCACATTAAAACTTCTTGTGTGTGTATTTTTCTTTCCTTTCAAAGTAAAGAAAAAAGTTTGTCTTTAAGATTAAAAAAACCATCTAGTCTCACTAAACTGACCTTGGATGAAAGGTTTGCAGTCTCAATAAAGGACTAAAACTCCAGAGGAGGGAATGTGGTCAAGTTTAAATCATAGCTTGACAGCAGCAATAACAGAGCCTGGATGAAACAGGACAGGGCTGTTTTATGAAATCATGACAAAAAAGGGGGGTGAAGTTTGCAGGTGGTGTGGCTCAGGTACCTGAGCGTGGCAAGGTGATGCTCAAGCCTGGATCCTCACTGTGAGGAGGAGTTGGGAGAAACCTGCTTGATCTCTTCTGCTGCTCACAAAAGGAAAACCTCCAGCTGCTCCCCCTGTGACCTGTCCCAGTCCTGTGCCAGCTCTGCTCCCTCTGTTTCAGGTTACAGACACGTGTACCTGGAAGGCATAGAAGAGGCTTCCATCTTTGTGCATGTGGCTATAAATGACATCAGTGGTAAGGTGAGTGTCTCCATGGTGTGCAGCACCCCCACAGGAGCTGCCAGGATCTTGTACCACACCAGGGAAGCTCAGGGGGTGAAGGTCCAGGCTGACATTTTTGTTCACTTGGAGTAAAAATGATCTCTGTGCTTGTCATGGTAGCCTGAGATCTTTCTGAATATCCATGGAGATAAAGGCAAATCACAGGGAAAGTTATCAAAAAGATTCTTGCAGTGCCTTTTTGAGGAAGACATAGGGGAGGGTTATTTTCTTGCAGCACACACATTTATATAAATAATGTGATTGTGGGTGCACCTTGCTGACCAAAGGTTACACACCTTAACCCTGAGCACTTGTTCCCTGCAAAGCTGATGCCATAAAGGCTCTGCCTGATGTTTTGGCACTTTAATTAAATTCCACAAGCTTTTTTTTTGCTTTTGATTTTTTGCCATAATAACTCTTAAAACAGAGGAAAGGTGATGCTGGTAATAGTTGGACATATTTACACTCCTTGTGTGTTTGCTTCATATGCAGGAAACAAACAACTCTCAGGGTGCCACATCTCAATTGCCACGAAAGTAAAGCCCTAATTTCAGACTTGTTCTAGGCCAGATAAAAAGGACACAGCTCCTGTCCTCTGAGTGCAGTGTTCAGAGCTGTTAATTCCAGTGAAATCAGGCACAAAGCTCCTTGCAGGATCCCAGTTTGTCCCGCAGCAATGAGATGCAATATCAGCATCAGGACAGCAGGAGGAAAGAAAACTTCTCTGCCTCCTTTGTTTTCTCATTTTTCTTCTTTAACTTCAAAATCAGAGTTACAAAAACCTACTCAAGCACGAGTAAAACATCAACAGTGGTCAGGGCTGTTAATGCTGATGAAATCGGGTACAGAGCACCTTGCAGGATCCCAGTTTGTCCCGCAGCAATGAGATGCAATATCAGCATCAGGACAGCAGGAGGAGGCATCCAGCGGGCTGGGAATGCCCAGGTCCTCCTCCAGAGGGAAATTCGAGCAATCCTGAACAGGAAAACAGCTTTTTTACACTTTTAATCATCACTCAGTTACTTAACTCCACTCCCTGCCCTTGCCAGCAGTGTTTAATGGAAGGGCCAATGTTCATCCTCTGGGAATGTTCGAGGTATTTTCAATGCAAACCTCCTTTGGCAAATTCTCTCTCTGTTTAGCCTTGATTTCCTGGCCTTTCATAATTATTTGCTCTTACTAACTTCTTAATGAGTGACTGGCAGTGATAGTTTGCAGAAGGGTAACCTGTCCATTTAAACTTTGGCAGGTGTTTTGGGACATGGATTTTTCTTGGTGTTCCCTGATTGCTTCTCATTGTCACTGCAGTCTCTCTGGGCTTGCTGGTGTTAGGAAGTGATTCTGTGCACTGACAAAATATAAGGATTTGGAAGGAAAGTCTGTATGTGTTGTGGTTTTTGGTTTTTTTTTTTTTTTTTTTAATTTAAAATTTTTAATAAAAACTACTGAAAATGTGGAACAAATATTACACATCCCTTTCTGGTTTGGTCTGTCTGAATCTATTTTTGCTTTGATTTTTGGCTAAAGGGCTGTCCAAATTAGAATTTTTTCTTTTCTCCTCTCTTAATTATGGGCAGAAAAATCACCCCAGTTATCAGCCTGGTTTTACCCATCCTTACTAATCCAGAGATTCTAATGCAAACATTTTACATTTTGGGACTTTTTTATAAATGGAGATATTCCACCTGCTCAGTAGCTTGGTCTTACTAAAACAGTCTTAGATTGTTGGTTTTTTTTTTTCACCTTAACTTATGTGTGAAATCTCTTCCAGATCGCTCTGTTTCCTGGAAAGGCTTTTCTTTGTTTCTGTCTCTTCTGTGGTCTGCTGATGTAGTGCAGGATTTCTTGTGGTTTTTCTAGATGTGCCTATCTCTGAGCTCCTCCCTCACCGTTACTCTGCCTTTACTCTGTCTGTTTGTGATTTCAGTGGGCTTCTCTATGTCAAAAAAGTCTCCTTTTAGAAGCAGAGCGTTTTTAGACGCCTTGAAGGTACCCCTCCTGCCCCAGGGAGGTGCAGACACCACCACACACCTGCATGCCTTGAGCTGGTAGCTTCATCAGCATCAACCTTTCCTTGGTAGCATTTCCGAGCTCTCCAACTCATGGAACATGAGCTGTGACATTTGACTGGCTCACCCCTGTGGGGTCATGGACAGCCACAGAGCCCTCCCCGTGTGAAGCAGATCCAGGATAAAAGTCCTGCCACTCTCCCCCTTCTCTGAGCCTCTCCCTCTCCTGCCTTTTCTCTGGAGGGTTATCATTCAAACCCCTTCTTTCACGCTGAAAAGAACATTGACAGTGAATCATTTGCTAAATTGTGGGAAAGCCTCTTGTGCTGTTTTTCAAGTCTGTTTTCCAGAGTGAAACAGCCCTGTAAAAGCTGGGCTGGAGGCTAAAAGCACAGTGTCCTGGATCTCCCTCAAAACTGCTCTCTTTTATTTTTTTTCATTCTTTTAAAACTTTTTTCCCCCCACCAAGTTAATCAAATCTGCCTTTGTGTTCTTGAATCACTTCATTGATTCAAGCAACAGTGTCCAGCTTAACAAAGCTGCAGCAAACAAGCCAGAATGACACCTTGGGCCCTGCACTGCGTGTCACCCATTCCATCAGTGCTTCCCTTTTCTTTTTGGTGGATATTATTTGTCTGTGTTGTTTGTATGACAATTTTTTCTGGGTTTTGCAAATATTTATATGGTCTGATTTTTATAGCAATAAATTCATGTACTTGCCAACTTGTCTCCCAGTAATCCAAGCAGACTGTTCAATAGTCTGGCTCTCACAGAAGGTTTTCCTATATTTAATATTTGCCTTGCATGGGAAAATTCAAACCCCACCATCTCTGTCTTATCCTAAAGGTAATTTTTGATAATGTCCTACTCACATTGGAAATTGGCACGTGATAACTAAACTTCAGTCAATTATAATTGACTAAATATTTAATCAAAAAATAATATTATGAACACTTTTACTGGCCCTTGTGTCACCCAAATAAACCTTGGTCCCACATGGCAGCTTGGGCAGAACACTCAGGGTAAAAGCAGCTCTTAGCCCAGGCTCAGTGCACAGGGCAGCCAACATCTGCATTAAGTCCTGCACAGCAGAACTGGAAATGCACAAGCAGGCACTCAAATATTTATTTGGGGATGAAAGGCTGTTGTAATTTAAATGAGACCCTTCTGTGCCTTTGTTTAGCACTGCAGAAATGTGACCTCGTGTGACATCACAGGGCAGAACTGGAACTGGCAGCGAGTGCCAGCGAGCGTGGCTGCTGCTCAGGTTCTGTCACGGGCTTCTTAAAATGCACTTCAGCCATGATCCACCCTTGGTTTGTTCATTCTGGTGCTACAGCTGCTCAAAAGTCTGATCCAAGTGGGAAATAAAGAGAGCAAAGAGGGAGAAGTAGATTAAAAGAGAAATACCTTTCTGTGCTGGAAGGGATCTCTGTGCCCAGAGCAAACCAACGCTGACTCAGGCATCAGTCTGGGCTGGAAAAGTTGGCAAGTACACCTGGAATGTTTGCAGGAATGCTGGACCTCTGTTTCATTGAAATGTTAATCAGTTGTATGGTGGTGGGAGATTTATGATGGTGAATTTATGTGTTGAATGCTTAAATAACTACTGAAGACTATGGAGAACTGTAATATGACACTAACTTCCCTTGTTTGTAGTGTGTTTCCTCAGTGCTGAACACATACACCAGTGTCTTGGGATAAGTGTTGTATGGTAGGAAAAATTACCAAAATGTAATCACACAGGTAGAAATTTGAAATACTCAATGATCTTTTGTGTGTGTCTAGTTAACTGCTATTCCTGACAGTGCTCAATTCAATTCAAGTGTAGATCTCCTTTATATTAAAAAAATATTTTATTTTATGGTCAGTGTATATTTCCCAGCAGTTCCTAGAAAATTCATTTACAGCAAGAACTTTAAATACATTTGCTTTGGGTGAAACTGAGAAACTCTTCAGTTTTCAGAATGAAAGCCTTGTAGACAGAAGTACTTCCTTTTTTTTTTTTTTTTTTGTCTTTTCAGTAGCTCTAATGTTTATGTAGATGTTGTAAGTAGTTACATGCTAGAAAGAAAATGATGACAAATACAGAGATAAGTGTGGCTGGAAAATGTTATCTAAAAACAGAGCTGAGAAAAAAAAAAAGAGAGATGTGTTATTTTGCAAGGCTGCTGTTAGTGATTTCTTTTTTTTTCATTTTTAATGCCTGTCCTATTTCTGGGTTAGTTCTCATGCAGATGGCAGGAATATAGCAGGAGACTGCATGTGAACGATCATTTGTTCATGAGTTCCTGTGCCCAGAGGAAGAGCCTTGCATTTTTTTTATAAGGGAATTTTTTATATTTTTATTTTTTCTCGTTTCTTTTGCAGGCCAAACAAGCTCTAGGTCTAAAAGGGCTGTTTCTCAGAAATCCAAAGCAGGCCTCTCTGGACAGTCATGCTGCTGGGCAGCTCCATCGCAAACATTCCTTTAGCAGCCACATCCTGAGACGGACGGCCAGCGCACCCACCAAGAGCCAGAAGAAGAACAAGAAAGGCTTTCCAGAAATTGCTTTTGACACAAAGGACAGCAGCTCTGCAGGGGCTGGAGAAGGGCGGGAAGTGGAAGCTGCCTCCCAGCCTCGCTTTGTGCAAGAGCCAGAAAGCGCTTCCCCGTCCCCAGCTCCCCGCGACGGTGCCGCTGGGGAGGCACCTGGCAAGGCCTTGAAAGGTAAGGCCCAGGGCTGTCCCCAGGGGCCAGGGCAGAGCTGTGCCCACCCCGGGGCTCCCTTCAGCGAGCCCTTGCCCAGGGCACACAGGGTGAGGCTGCAGGAGCCCCAGGGAGAGAAGCCAAGCGTCTTCGCCCGCTGTGCCATCAACAGCTCGGGCAGGATCGGCGTGGCCACCAACTGCATGAAATGCATGATTGGCTCCAAGGAGAGCCCTGACCCAGAGGGGCCCTGGAGTGACCACCCTGGCAGGCCCATTGCTAGAGAGCCCCTGCACCCCGGGCAGGGCAGCAGTGCAGAGGAGAGGGTAGAGCTGCACACCTGGGTGGTCAGAGGGCAGCCCAGGCCACACTCAGATTTGCAGCCCTGCAGCAGCCCTGGACCCGCAGGTGACCCGAGGAGGAGCACCCAGTCTTTTGTGAGCCCAGGGAAGACGAGTGGTGACTCTAAGTGCCACGGGATGAAGGCTCATTCCCGGCAGCGCTGGCACTGCCAGTCAGGTGGCAAGTATGGAAGCACTGTCAACTTGGTTGCAGCCAGCAATGGCTCCATATCCTCCAACTCCAGCAGTCTAGAGAGCCTTGGAAGCCCAGAGTTCCCCAAGCACTGGTCTGAACCTTCTCGAAGGCAAGTGGGCACCCTACAGAGGGAAATGAACGCCTTGTTCGTTCAAAAATTGGAGGAAATTCGAAGTAAATCCCCTATATTCTTTACTGGTAAGACCAGATTTTCTTCACCCTTCTCTGCTGTAGATCACATCATTGTCCCAGCTTCTGCATAGCATCCTTACTTAGAAGCTCCTCTATGTTGTTTGGCTGTCAAGAGGTCTTTTTTTTTTTTTAATTTTGGCAATGACAGAAGGAAAAAAATCTGCATAAATATTTTTATTTTCTTTTTTGTAGACGTGTCTGGTTTAGCTTAGTCCTTGCCATGCCTAGTTAACCATCTGCAGTAGTGGCACTGTCAGTAGTCCATAAATGTTGGGGTTGTTTGTTCAGGGCTTTTTGTTTCCTTGATTTTCTTAGTGAATGTGGTATGATACTAAGTAAATTTTAAGATCCAAACCAGAGCATTAAGTGAGATTGAATATGGGAAACCCACATCAACAAACAATATTTCCATCATCAGCCTTTTTGTTCCACTGAGGGATAACCACATCAGGAACGATGTCTAATGTGCTCTCTGATAACAGTAAACCTGTTCCCTCCTCAAAGATGAAAATCACTGCTGTCAGTCCAGGAATTACTGGATGGATTTCTCTGCTCTGTTCAGGAGGTGTATTTTATAAACACAGCAGCCCGTTCTGCTCCTAAATGTGTGTGCAAACCTTTCTGCTGTGATGTTGGTAGCCTGAGGACAGAGCTGCAGAGAGCAGCAGAGTGTGTGATCTGCTGCTCCCTGGCATCAGCCAGCCTGGGGCACTGCTGGCATTCCCCACTGCACCCCAAAACGTTCCCACTTAGAGGAAAGCTCCTAAAGCTGCAGCATTTTGTGGTTGTTTCACACTGGGACTGTGTGGCTGCGCCTGTGCCATGAACTGGGGGTTTGTAGAGATGGGAATTCAAAGCAGAGGCAATCAAAGGGTATCTTTTAGTAAGAAAAACGGCATTTTTCCTCCTGATTTGGCAGGAATGGGACAGAAGGAAAGAGATTTTGATAAGAATTTTCTGCTTCACAGAACTGTAAGGAGAAAGTAGGAAATACAGCTTTTGGCTGTGGCTGCAGGAGCTCCTCTTCAAATCCTCACCCTCCTTGTTAATTGTCCAAGAAATTTGGACTCTGATGGTTACATTCTCAGCAACAGTGAAGTGATTTTGGTGTTTTTCCTAAGATGTAATCCCTTTCTTAATAACAGATTCTGAGTGCCCACCTATAGTGGGTTTCTTTGAAAGCCTCATACAGAAATTTGAAACATTTTATTTATTTGACCAATTTTATGTGGCTGGGTGTCTGAAATTTTCCTTCTATTTTTTTTTATGCCATTTTTTTAAACATATTTTTCCAATATCTGCTTCAGGCTTTTAGGAAAATACCAGGACAATGGGAGGGGAGAAATTTGCTGGTTCCCGTGACTTGCAGTTAATCCAAAGCAGCAGAACTCTTTCTATGCCTAAATTATTGGCATTGGGCTTTTCACAAACTCTGAGTACTGTGACATATGAAACCATTTCCCATTATCAGTGCCAGCTCCCCTGCCAGCCCCCCAAGTCACTAAACAAATATTGTGATATGCTTGAAATTTGATTAAATCCATCTGACTTCCCAAGCATGGAATCAGCAAACTCTTAAAAAGGTGAAATGGTGCCTTGGACTGGCTGCTGCTGGTCCAGTGACAGCCCCTCTGTTTGCACAAACAGCTCCCTTTCCCATCCTCCTGCAAGGCCATGCCTTGGGCCAGGAAACCAGGGAAACCAGCTCCATGGCTGCACTTGGGAATTGGCATTCTGCTGGGGGAAGTGCCCCTGGGATAAGGCAGGAAACTATAGCTGGCCCTTCATTACATAATAATATAGAATATGAATATATTTAATAATATTTTAATAATATTTATTATTACTATAGCTGGCCCAGAATGACATTTTCGAGGAATTTCCCTTCCCAATGTGTCCCAATCTATGCTGCTGGATGGGCAGGAGGAGAGTTCATAATCTGATCAGATCTGGGCCCTTCCTGACACTCTTCCAGGCACTGAGAGTCTGGAATGTTGGATTTGGGTTTTGGGATGTTGGAGTTGGGATATGGGATGTTGGAGTTGGGTTTTGGGATGTTGGAGTTGGGTTATGGCATGTTGGAGTTGGGTTGTGGGGTATTGGAGTTGGATTATGGGATGGTGGAGTTGGGTTATGGCATGTTGGATGGGCACAGGTGCCTGGTTCCCTTCCAGCACCCCCAGCTAATGCAGGACAGGGCAGAGCTGCTCCCACCCCTGAGTTCTGCACTGGGCTGGAAATCCTGGTGCCAAGGTTCTGGGAGTGATGTTTCCCATTAGGAGAGGGCTTTGGAGGAGTCCAGATTCCTCTGAGCAACTTGGAAGGTGTCCTTGCCTATATCAGGGTACTTGATGATTTTTGGGGTCCTTCCCATCACGAACCCTTCTGTGATTCCATGATTCTGTGATTCCATTCCCCTGTCCAGTGGAATGTGTTCCTTCAACACTAACAAATATTTTCACCCTATGATAAAAAAAAAAAAAAGAATTTAATATCTGTCCATGTGTGGACTCCATTGAGTGCTCTGGTTGGTCAGAAATTCTTAGGATCCTACAATCATGTGTGACTATTCCTGTATGTCTCCTTTCCCTCCCTCAGCACTAATTTATCCTGTTATCTGCACCTGCCTTCCCTACATTAATTGGATTTTTCCTCTGTTCTGTCCTATTATTCTACATGCACACTCTCTCTCTCTAGTTAAGAACTGAAAGGACAAGCAAGTCAAAGGTAATGTCTGCTGAGTGTCCCTGATTCGAGCACCTTGTTGCCTGTAGTCCTGATTTTTGCCTGTTTGCTGCCCTGTAATTACCTGCTCCTGTATCCTTGAGGTCGTGGTCTGCCTTGGTGGTGCTTTGTTAGTTCTGGAATGCATGTCTGCACTGTGCCTTGGAGATATGGGAAATAATCTTTTTGGCATGATTGCTTTGGCTCCCGGGGTGCAGGTGATAAACACTGCAGAGAATGGAGTATTTTCTCCAGGTAATTGGTGGCTGTAGTGATTCTCCAGGGCTGCACTCACATCCTGCTGTTCATGACCCATCTGTCTGCAGAGCTTTTTTTGAAATAGAAATTACCAAGTTTTTTTTAGGAAGAACAAAGTCTGTTTAAAGCTTTTGTTTTGTTTCTAAAAGTCCCATTGCCAACATTCCACTGTCTGCAGATCATTTGTAATCTGCTCCACAAGTCCTGTGCTGCTTCTCTTCTGAGTGGTTGGTCATTGGGATCACATCTGCTGGTCAAACTGGTGTTTGATCATTGTACATGCTCTGGTTGTGCTCTGATACCCTGACCTGTTTGACTGCTGGAAGGAAGGAAAACTGAAAACCAAGTGGTGCTGGATGGTGGAGGAAGAAAAGCTGGTTTACAAAAGGGGACACAAAGGGCAAAAAATTGCTGGGTACTGTTGTTGTTTGATAAGAAAACCAGAAGAGTCACATGGTGCTGCTGTGCATGGACTGAGATTTCTTGAAGCAACAGGGCTTTGCGCAGCTAAAACTGAATGTGCAAAATGTTTTGCTGCCTTTGGCCAGGCATTTGAAATCACAAGTTATTTTAAAAATCATTATTAACATGGGCAACTTGTACCTTGAGAACAAAATGGTAACACATAAGGAATGAATCTTAGCTCAGCTGTAATTTGTAAGAGATAACTAACCCTGTATCTCTGTTTTTCTTGTTTCTTTCTTTTTCTTTTCATGCCTCCCAAGCAGACATCTGCCACTTCTCAATGCAGAGGTCAGTCACTTCTTTATGCAGCCTAGAAACGATCACAGAAGAGCCTGTCCTTGCCAGTGACAGCCATCAGTGCAGCCTTCTCTTCCCCCTGCCCGTTACCCCTTACAGTGACTTTGAGGAAGGATCTGGCTCTGACCATTCCACAGAAGCTCCATCAGAGGGAAGCAGATCACCCAACCAGCCTCAAGAGCCCCTACCCTCCAGAGAACAAGGAACCAACCTGGCTGCAGAAAACCAAGGGCAGGATGTCCCAGGAGCAGCTGACACAAGTTTAGCAGCCCCAGAGGATGAGAGGACAAGCGTGGCAGGATGTCCCACAGAAGGAAATGGCTGGACACAGTGCAGTGAGGCTGAAGATCAAGGTGGATCAGCAGCACATCCCCATAAAGCCAGGCTGGTAGAGGCAGCAGATCACGGTGCTGGCCAACCTGTAGGAAACTGCCAAAAGCAAAACCAACCAGGTCAGGTATCAGCAGACACAAAAAGCACCTCTGAATCCAAAGGGCAAAACCCAGGTGCTGCAGCTGTTCCACCCCAGCAAAGCAGAGTCAGTAACCACCCTCAGGCAGATTCTCCCCAGAAAACCCGAGCTGCACAGGCTCTCCCTGTCTCTGTTTCCCAGATGAGCTCTTACACGTTGGCGAGAAGGGCAAAGAGTGAAGGACTGAAGACACCAGACTCCTCAGCCTCAATAAAAATTCCGAGCAGCCAGTCTCCAGCAGCTGAAGTCTACTTTGATGCCACTGTCAACGACCGGATCTGGAGCAAGCTGGACTGCGGCAGCCACCGTGACAGCATGTCCTCCTCGTCCAGCATGTCCTCCAACGACACCGTCATCGATCTGTCCCTCCCCAGCCTGGCTCGAAAAAGCCTCCCGGACCTGGGCATGCGCCAGGACAGCCTGGAGCCCCTGGCCATCAGGAAGGGCATGCGCCCGCGCTCCGCCACCACCTGCAGCAACGAGATGCCAATGGTCAGCAAGAGCAAGTCCAACCCCAACCTGAGGTCTGGCCAGCTGCCGGCCGACGAGCTGTGCCCCCGGCCCCTGGCCAGGAGCCCTCAGGACGCCTTCTCGTCCATTCCTAGAAGGCACACCTGGAGCAGGCTCTACATGGAGAGTCTCAGGCAGTCCTCTAACAAATCCAAAGCGCATGACATGGTTGGGAATAACCAGACAAAGTCGAAAAGCCTCGGGGACCTTACCTCTGACGACATCGTGTGCACTTTTGAAAGCAAATACCGCAGCATCAGCAGGAGCTTCGTCACCCGCTCCATGCGGGAGCAGCGCCGCCCCTCCGGCCTGCGGCCCTCGGCCAAATCCCGGGACGAACTGACTGAGCAGCTGAAGAAGCTGACAGCCTTCCAGCAGGAAAACGACATCACCTCCCCCATCAGCCTGGAGCCCAGCGAGTCGGAGGAGGAGGGCGAGAGCGTGGGGCTGCTGCGCCGCTCGTCGTCGCGCAGCCAGAGCCGCGTGCGCTACATCGCCAACAGAGCGCGGCAGGCCCAGGAGAGGCAGCGCCTGCAGGGCCGGGCACAGCTCGGGCACAGCAGCCCCATCGAGGAGAGGGGCAACCCCGAGGGCGCCTGCAGCGTGGGCAGGGCCGGCTGCACCGACCTCGCTGCCCACACGGCCCTGGCGGCCTCGCCCAAAGCCCAGCCCGACTGCGCGGCGGACACCGAGGTGTTCTTCATGCTCAAACTGTGACCCTGGCAGCGCTGGGCACTGCTTGCACTCCTGTCACAGCAAAACACCTGAGAGGCCCCAAGCGTCCTGTGCTTCCTGGCCTTCCCTTGAGCCAAGGGTGCTTGATACCACGACTCCAAGGGAATAGATGAGGATTCATTTTTAATTGCGCTTTGCCCAGCCTCCGATTTGGCCTCCTTTGTGTGTGACCACTTCTTGCGTTTGCAGTTTGCTCTTGGTCTTTACTAATTTCAATAATTCTTCTGACAATAGTAACCTTGATGTGTAACAGCTAAATGTGATGCTAATGACGGCTAAGGTGAATTTTGCTCTTACAAATCATGGATCCGTGAAAGGAGGCTGGACTTTAAATCACATTTTATTTTCTGGAAGAGTTTGAGGCCTCTGAGGGTGTGAATTAATAATGTAGTAGATACAGTCCATCTTCCATCGTGGACCTGCTTATTTCAGTGAAAATCCATATTTTCTCTTTGAAGAAAACTTCTCTTGTTCCAAAGCAATGCTTTTATAAACCCAGCCTGTTTATATATCTATATATATATAAATATCTATATATATACACCTGTGTGTATGCAAAGATGTGTCTGCACATGTATGTACACATGCACACCCTGAACCTGAACTGTGACTGCTCCTTGTCTCAAGGCATTGTCTGAGGGAATTGAGACAGGAGAGAGAAGGGAATGGCTAAAAATAGAAATATCTTCTGACTTTACTTCAGAAATGGCTACGAAGCATGTTAGTCTTTTCTTGAAACAGCACTGTCCCTTCTTATGGTATTTTAACAATGCTGCTGTACATAGCACTTTTTGGATGAATTTTACTATTTCTGTATTGCACTGCCATGCAAAATTTTCAATTATATGTTTAAAAAAAAAAAAAAAGAGATATTTAATTTTTTTAGATGGACATATTTAGAATTAAATAACAACATAAACAGAGTAATAATTCTTCCTCCCCCCTTTTTTTTACTTTTTATTTTTAGGGATGTTGTCATGTGTCCCCCCCCGTCCCCAGTTATGATGTCATTTATTATAGATGTACATTTTATCAGTGATGGAGAAGAATGTTTACTGAGATGCATTTTAAAGAGAAACAGAGTTTTAATTTTATTTCAGACTGCATAGAGTCCCTATTATTGAGAGGATATTTTGCCTTTGTAATGATTCTTTTGTGTATATTGCAAAATTTAAAAATTTGTTTGTAAAACCACCTTACACTACTAAAATAAACATATTTAACCTCCCAGCTGGTGACTCTTTAGCTGTAACACAACACTGGGGTTTGTGATACACAAACATCGTTCATTCTATCTGCTTTGTTTTTCAGCTTCCTTTGTGGATAACATTTAATTTTACTCTTTTTCAGAGAGGTAGCCAGTGCAAACCCACTCAGATTTTCTCAGGTCCTCTGGAACCTGTGCAAGGATTAGCAGAGACTGACATTGTGTGGTGTGAGACACAGCACAGGAGCTGGGGCAGGATGAAAATTCTGGGGCAACTGGTGGAATTAGTAGCCAAACAAACAGAAGGAGCTGATCCATCCTGGAGCAGCTGTACAAGTAACACAGATGGCCCTGTTGCATCACTGAGGGGGTTTAAAGTCTGGCTGAAAATGCTGCAGCACAGTTTTGCTCTTCACCTGTCACTTGATTGAAAAATCACTTCTATTCCTGTCCCAGCAAAGTGCACAGTGAAAGTGGATTTTACTGCCTTCACACTCCTCCTGGAAGGGCTGTCACTTGTGGAGCTGGGAAGGGGCTCTTGGTTCTAATTTTAGTATCACTCGGCCACAAGAATTTAAACTCTGAGATACCAAAACAGTAACAAAATTTAAACTCTGAGATTTCAAAATGTAAGGCTGACTGTGTTATCACCATGACACGGCGATGGGGCTGGAGGGGTTAAATTTCCTGATTAAATCTTTTCAGATGCTCTCCCTTACGTTTTGTCTGAAAATATTCCCTCAGTTTTCCAGGCTGGCTCAGATCTGCACAGCTTGTCTGCAGGACTCAGATCCTGCAGATCCCAGGGCAGCTTTGTGCAGCAGAGCTTTGGGATGTGCACCGAGGTGACCCCACAGCATCACTGCAGGCTCTGGAGGGAAGGAGGTGAAGCTGCAGCAGAACGTGTGATCTGCCAAGAGGAGCCTCCCATTGTGTCCCAGCACAAAGCAAATTTCATTAACATTCTCTGGATGAAAAAATCATTCGTGTAATACTTTAATTTCGGGCTGAAAAGCTGCAGGGAGCCGCTGCTTTTGTAACTTTAATGCTTTTGTAGCTTTAATGGCAAGTACATGCAACTTTACAGCTTTGGAAAGTCAATGTTTAAAAGGCCTATTTGTGTCTTCTCAAAGACTGAGTCTCACAATCAGATTATTTTCATCTTTAATTGATTAAGCAACACTCGTTAAATGAATGCACCTCACAGGAGGCAGTGTCATGGAGCACTTTAAAACATTTACCTTCATTCAGACTTTTAACCAACAGAGTTTGGATTTAAATCATTAGGGTACATGTGAAATTTGCCCTCTTGCTTCCAGATTAGTACCAACCACTTTTACAGCTTGTTTTGTGACACTACATAAGACTGATCATTCATCATGTATTTATTTATTCCTGTAAGTGGAATTTATTCCAGCATTTAAGAATTATTTGGAATTTAAGTCAGCAGAAGGTCACAGTTTTGCTCTTCATTCTTCTGCTTTTCCTGTGCATCCTGGGACTCCTGGATGTGGATTCAGTTCATTAAATGGTAAAATCTGAAATCCAAAGTCTCCAGATCACGAGCAGTGTATTGGACATGGCTGGATGTGGGATTATGGGCTCTGTTCCTCCAGCCCGGCCTTCATGAGCACTGATAATGAACATTCAATTGTGTCTTTCAAAGCTGATTTTGTCTGTGCGGTCAACAGGCAGGAAAACGGGCACAGCTGCTGGGGACAGCTCCAAAGGGAGGAATTTTACAGCAACACCACAGGACAGAGAGAGAATTTCGTGAGTCCTGGTGCAGCATCCAGCTGTGGAACCAGCAGCTTCCAAAGGCTGTCCTCTGGTGTGGCCTCCTCCTTCCCCGAAGCCCCAGGTGTCCCCTGGTCCAGCTGCACACTCAGAGGCCACTCCTCCTCCTCCTCCTCCTCCTCCTCCTCCTCCTCCTCTCCCGGGTATTTAACCCAGCGCGGGATGCCCAAACCTGCGGGATGCTCACTGCTCTGCCGGGCATCCCGAGCAGCTCCCGGACGGACAGACAGACAGACAGACAGACGGGCCCAAAGGAGTCTCTGTAAGTGAGAAACTGCCTTCCATTCGTGCTCTGCTTCTGGCAAGGGGCAAAGCCTGCTGCCACCGGCTCCTTCCTGGCTTTTTAACCCAGATTTGCACCCTGTCTGTGCTCTTAGATCAGCAGCGTGTTTAACAACTTTCTGTTCAAGGTGATGCCAGCAATACCAGCTCTGATCACTTCGGGTTTTTTCACAGGAGGCCACTTGAAATCATCACAAAGATTATTTTTGTTGCATGTACCAAATTGTAAGGGAAAAGGAACAGGAATTTAGAGGCTAAACTTACCAGGAAAAGCACAGCTCCTCCCTGGCTCAGCCTGAGCTACTTCTTTTCCTTTTTTTTTCCCATGTGGTTGATGCAGCTGCTCAGTTTTTGTGCTGCTCTGGCAACAGCCAAGAGCAGCAGCTACTTTGTCTAAAAAGTAGTTGTAGAATAAAGTCAGTGTTTGTTGGTTTTCTCAGCTTTTGCAGAGATGGGGCAACTGAGACGTGTTTTAAAAGTTTTTATTCCATTATCAGTCTCTTGTGAGACGCAAGAGATGTAAAACTCAATGCCATCCCATCAGAAGCCAACCTATTTCCTGGTTACGATACAGTGCATCTTTCACAGCTCTAATTCTCTAAAATATCTGGTTTTTTTTGCAAAGCCATATGTTGAAACTTGTTGAAATTTGTTTCTAGTTCAACCTCTCTCTCAACAATGTCATCTCTATTCCATGGCCTTCCTAAATCAGCACACCTCATCTCAGTATTTGCATACAGATGTACAAGACTGTATAAGCTTTCTATCAGGTTTTGAGGGTTCTTTACAAATCCATTTCCCACAAGTGTTGGCTGATGTACAGCTCAGATCTCAGCCCTCTCCTCTGGGATCCTTTCACAAGGAGCAACATTTTCCCATTTGACAGAATTCTTTAACAGCAGCAACAACAAAATCAGCATAGAAATTTAATCTGGAAAGAACCTTCTGTGGAGGTTTTAGTTATTTCTCTCATTAGGGAAAATGAGTGAGGGAAAGTGCTGAGCTGTAATGCTGGGAGTTTTCATAGGATGCAGGATTGGGAAATTTCCTAAAAGCTGATGAGGTAAGGTCACGAAATCCAGTGTTTTCTGAGCATCAGTCAGCCACAAGTAATGCCATGTGTAGTATATTTTTGCCTACACACTCTCATAAATGGTAAGTTTTCCTGGGCATTTAAAATTTATTTTTTATCATTTCTGGTGTAATGTTGTCCTGTATCTTGTTGGGCAACAAATACCATTAAAATATTGCTGCTGCTTCCTCTCCTGCCCTTTCCCTGGGGGGGAACCCACAGGGAGAGAACCACCAGTGGGTAAATCCCCTTTTTTAGGTTTGTCACATCCTTTTTCCTGCAGTGGGGACTTCACCAGAGCCTTTCTTTAGTGTTTGCTCTGGCTGAGCTCAGCAGTGACTGTTTTCAGCTGGAGACTTGATTTGGAATTGTGGCTCTACAGAAAAAGGAGCAGAAAATCCAGGACAAAGTGATCTCACCCAGTGATGAGGAACTGCAGAACCAGCTTTAACTGCTTGCCTTTCACCTCCAGCAGGAAGGTTCCTGTAGAGCAGCAGGAGTTTCTGCTCCAATGGATAAATCACTTCACTTCACAATCTGTGTGCTTACAGCCCTGCTGCTCCTGAGGGAATCAAGCCAGGCAGGTGAGGAAAAGGATCCAGAAGCTTTGGCTGCACACAAACC